AGTATTATTTAATTTTTGCCGACATTTCGACCCACTTTGCAGGTCTTCATCAGGGCTACAAAAGATACAAAACATGGTGAAAATAAAATAAATGAATATAAGTAGATATAAAATAAGAAGAAGTTGATACAGAAATAAAAAGATGATATCAGAGATATAGTGGGTGACAATGTAGTTAAAATATCAAGTATTATATATGTAGAAGATACAAACAAAAATGGAAAATAAGTATGAATAAAAATAGAAAATAAAGGAGAATATAGCATGTAAGTTAAAAGTAAACAGATTGCGATAAAAGATAAGGAATGAGTGTATAACAAACTAATAAAGATTACATTTGATAACTGTAGGTTAACAGATAAAGAAAATGAATGTTAACGAATAAATAGATTGAAAATTGAATAAGTATTGATATAGTAAAGCTAAAATAAGAATAAGATAACATAATAATAAGATAGCAGTAGTTAACAAGCTAGTGGAGGTTACATTTGATTGTAGGTAAACAGATAACGGGACTAAAGGTTAAGAAGTAAAGAAATTGAAAGATTAATAGGATAACATTAGTGTAATATCATTAGGATAGATTATTAAGTATAAATAACTCTATAAGAAAAAAAAAATTTAAGAAGAGAAATTTAGAATGTTTTGTATATAGTTTCGTTTGTTTTGTATATAGAATGTTTACCTTATGTTTTCTTTACATTATTTCTTTTTTTCTATTGATTTTATTTTGGCCAGATTTTAATTTTGTTATTCTCAAGGGGCTGTGTCCCAGAATGAAGTTATTTTCTCTCTATCTATCTATCTATGTCTCACAAAATGTTCCTTTTGGTAGTCTTGAGATAGGTTGTCCTTGGGGTAAGTCCCTTTGACGAAGAAATTAGTGGTCTCTTCTAAGGTGGTAGCATGGACATTTTCTTGCCTCATCGCCGCTATACTTTGCAGCGGAGTCAACTTGCCCGGAGCCACCTTGTACAGAATACCCCAAGGATTCTTTGAAGATTCTTCGACGGTAAAATCGTCCCAAGACTTCCGCTTTCGTGAACGAACCTCATTTCGGTATACTCTGGCCATAAACTTATACTCGTTACAAAGTGCAGTGTGCCTCTCGTCTCATCTGCACCTCTGGTATGACCGCCGATCCTTGTAGAGGTCTCTCTTCATAGCTTTTAAGGCCGACGTCCACCATGGGACAGGTCGAACCCTCGTCTTCCGGTGCTGGAGGGAGTTCTCGGCGGCATCACGGATGGCATCGGTGTTTTCTGAATCCTCAACTTGCCAGCCTTCGTCGACCATTTCACTTTCCATCATGCACAAAAGACATTCCATTCACTTCTTCTGGTCATATAGCCCTTCACGTTGCCATAGAAACATCTATCCAAGGATCATCTACCTTGCCAAATGCAATCGCATTGTGGTCCGAACTCTTCTCTGATCTGAGTGTCCAATCGAAGATGTATCTAGATAGCGTTGGTGAGGCCAGAGTGATATCTATCCAGCTCTGCCCTCTACCTCCAGAGAAGGTAGGTGTAGCAGACGGATCATTTATCACCACCAATTGGTTTCTAGCAAACCCCATGACCATGTCCCTATAGCAACTTGGTTCTTAAACCGCGAAAATGGCATAGCGATGGGCTAGAGCTTGTAGCTCATCAGAAACAAGACGCCGTCGGCCCATATTAAGTTGTAGGATAGTAATCTTGTTACTCATACTTGGTTCTCTTCGTTAGTTCTTGGGTCTTCTTTAGATGAACTGGGCAAGTTTGGCCAGGTGTTCTGTTTCCCTTCTCGTACACAAGTCGGTTCTGCTCTTTCTTTCTTTCTTGGGCACTCCTTAGCTATGTGACCTGGACAGGCACACCATTTACATACCAGATAGTCTGCTGTACAGGACGCCTTAGAGTGGTCGTACGAGAACAGCACTAGCCTTGGTTGTATGGATCACTTTTGCCTGTACTCCTAGTTCATTCGGAGGTGGCAAATCGCTAACAATTTCTAGAGCTGTTTTCCCTTCTCTAGCCATTGTAATAAACGCATACCGCGGTGCATTTTCCTTTGGTTTAATCGTTAGCGTTTTAACTATGTCCGCCATAGTTTTCTTTCCCGGGAGTAAAATTGACGAGTTAGAACTATTCTGTGCTCCTTCTATTTGCTCATTTACTTCCTCAGTTTTTTTGTCAATCATTTTAACTTTTTTCTTTTTCCTTCGACTTTGAACTACTGCAAAATCTTCTAACTCTAAAACTTCTTCTGAATGTTTCATTATTCATTGATTGTTTAATGCATTCTTGATCCCAGAAGTGCCTGCTTTAGGCGGTGGGTTGTGGTTTTATATTTCTGCTGTTGGAAGCCCCTCGATAATTCTAGGAAGAGATCGTTCAACGAGAATGTCCGTGATTTTGTCAAATACGCTAGAAAATGATAGAGTCTCCTTGACAACTCGTTCAATTAGTGTTCGCTGTTCTTTCGATCTATCGATGACGGTTTCCATGATATCGATAAGATGACTTACTTTACCGTTTATGTCTTTTTACGTTTTCACGTTTATTCTCTTATCCACGTTGGTAAGGTAAACTCTTAAGTTTTCTTGAATGGCATTCACCACTACTAACAACGGGTTCATTTTACCCTTATTTTGGTCTGTTATGTCAGGTGTTCCATTCCTGGCTCTCTTGGCGGCAGGTCTTGATCTTTTAGGTTTTCCCTCAGCTTCTATCTCTATAACACTATCATCCATAGTAAATAATGTTTTAACACTAATTACTGCAGTGATAACAGTTCTAACATATCTAATTTAAAATAGCTTATGAACAGTTATCTGCCAATTGTCTTTATAATTCTTTTTTAGTCCCAATGGGAACATTGTTGAACTATTTACCATATTGAACCTCCTGATAATTTATGTCAGACTCGTTTAGAGGAAATCTTTCACTGAATTAATTGATTTTCTTGAAGGTGGCAAACCAAATAAGGGTTCCTTAAACAGGCTCACACCATTTTTGGATAAGGACGGAGCTCTCAGGTCGGGAGGTAGATTGAAATATTCCACAATTGAAGAGAAAAGTAAGCACCCACTGCTGATACCTAAAGATTCTCATTTAGCAGTCCTTTTGTGTGACCATTACCATAGGTATTCCTTGCATGCTGGGCACCTGTTGGTTCAGTCGCTCATTCATTGCCAAATTTGGATCCCTTCTCTAAGAAGCCGGATCTATAAATGTGCTATGTGCCACAAAAATAATGCAAAACCACAGGCTCCAAAAATGAGTGACTTACCATTTTTCAGGGTGACCGAGGGTCGTCCCTTTCAGCGAATCGGAATAGACTATGGCAGCCCCTTCATTATGAAGATTTCCAGTAAGCGCAATGCTCCTAAATCGAAATGTTGGTTAGCTCTCTTTGTGTTCATGTCCACCAAGGCCATCCATCTAGAACTTGTGAGGGACCTATTCCACATTAGATAGATTTATTGCCAGACGTGGTTTGCCTTTACATATTTATAGTGACTGCAGAACAAATTTCGTTGGAGCATCCAAGAAGTTGAAGGAGCTTCATCAATTTGTTAAGGGTCAGAGCGAATCCATTTCTGACTATTTGGGTCGGGTATAAAGTGGACCTTTACTCCTCCAGCATCTCATCATTTCGGTGGTATTTAGGAGGCAGCTATTAAATCCGCTAAGAGACACCATCTTGCTATTCTCCAGGATCATGCGTTGACATATGAGGAATTTTATACTCTTCTGGTACGAGCTGAAGTTGTTCTCAATTCCTGTCCTATCTGTAACATTAGCAGTCAGCCTTCGGATAACCTGGATTACCTCACCCCCAGGACACTTTGTTATAGGTCAACCCCTCCTAGCCAGACCAGAACCTTTCCTGTTTCCTTTGACAAGCCATTGGGAGATGATTTCCAAGACTCTTTGTAATTTTTGGAAGTGATGGTATAATGAATACCTCCATAATATGGTGCCTCGCAACAAGTGGTACACTGACAGGGAAAATTTTAAGGAGGGAATCCTTGTAATTCTACATGAAAAAGATGATCCACTGTAGGAGTGGCGGCTTGCCAGGATAATAGAAACATTTCCAGGGCCTGACAGTGTAGTTAGGGTAGTAAAATTGAGGACTGCCACAGCCATTTTGGTGAGACCGGTGCACAAGTTAGTGCCTCTCCCTTCTGGAGAAACCTTTTATTGATATGAATATATTTTTTTTTTTTGAATTTAATGAGGAGTTATTTTATTTTAAATTAATTGTAATTTATTAGCCTACCTTTGATCTGGCTCACTTTATTTCTAAGTTTCCAAAACTCTATTTTAAATAATTTTCTCTTTCTTTATCGTAAACCAAGCAATTTTCCTCTCGTTTATGCCTTGCCTGATAATCACCAATCTCTAAGTTTGTTTTTTTCTTTCTTTTTTTTTGTGAAATGAGATATTTCATGGTGGGAGATATGTTTGTGTGAAAATGGTTTGCATTTCCCGTGTTATGGCGAGTGGTGGGGGCAGATCAGAAGATCTAAAAGATAACACTTAATCCTCAAGAGCTGCCGGTTTCTCGTCCCGTTCCACCACTGTTAGCCACCCAGACAGCCAGTCACAGCAGATGCTCCAGATGCTACGAGGGCCCTCAAGTTAACCAAGAGATTTAAGCTGGCATAAAGATGGTAAGCTATTTTTGCACAATCAGTATAACCTACCAATCCATTAAAATTCAGTCCACTGCATAAAAGCAGAATGTTGCCTATTCAGAACTCATGAGAGTTATTTGCCTTGCCTTAATTAAAAATTGGAAAGTTGCCTAAACAATTACTATTTTGATGAATAGGAATTTTCCCCAAAATTACTAAGATAAAAAAGTTTTGGAAAACAGCTTGTATGCAGATTACCTCTTGAATTAGTAAAGTGAAATCTATTCTGCAATGCAATAACAATTTATTGTGTATATTGTTTCTGTACTTTTAACCTTAATACTTATTTTCTTGTTTGACATTTTTTCAGGTTTAATACCCTACAACTACATTTGTGTTCAATCTGGAGCAATGCTTTCTTCATTTTCTTCTCTTAACGATATTCTCTCATGGGAAACGTTTATAAAATTGACATTTTTATCGATCATGGTATTAATAACACCAAAAATAATAAAAACATTCATTAATCATCCTACAGTATAGGGTGATCAATGAATCAAGTGTTACAATCAATCAAAATTTTTAAAACTAAGTGATCATCATTCAAAATCGATGTTCACGTTATAATTAATTATGAAAAGTAAGGATTATTGCTGTTTTAATCATTGAATACTTAACAGCTTAATTCAGGTATATATTTTGTAAGTTGAGGTTAATAAAAAGTTTTTATATATTATTTGTTTGATTTTAAATTAACTTTTTAATCTATTAATCGAGATTTTATGACCTAAATTCCATCTTTTTTTATGGTCATGTATATATTCAGTGGCTCTCATACAAATACACACACACAGTGGTGTGAAAAAGTCTTCAAACAAACCAAATTTTTATAAAATTGGTAAATGTTTCAATTAAAAAGTGTTTTTATCTTCTTAATTGTAACCATCTTATTTAACCTTCAGACATTGTAGGTGTAATATGTATATATATAAATTAGCATTATTTTCAATTAACAACAAGCCAAGGGTGATTGTTTAAATTTCACTACTTTGTTATCCAGTCCAGTCTTTATTGTTATCATTAAGAGCCTTTGTATAACCTCTAGAAAGCTGAGTGTATCTGTTTAAATTGTTCTGATATTGAAATTCTCTGCTTTTTTGGATAATTTAATTTAAAATTCCATATTTCATATTTTCTTTTTATTTTCTACTTAATGTTACTTTTACTTCAGACAGTGGAAAAATATATTTTTGACTGACCTATAATTATAATTTTTCATCAACGAGGACTTACAACCAAGGAACTTAAAAAAGAAGTTGAATATTCTATTTCTGGAATTCATTATGTCATCAAAAATTTAAAAAACCAAGCAAGCTGAGACTTAAAATGTTCAAGAAGGTCTAAAAAACATATTCTTGCTGTTGAACAGCCTATAAATTATTGTGTTTGCTTAACTGCTAAAAATGTAGCTGAGAACTGGTTCAGGAAATAGCCGATGCTAAAGGGACCCAAGTTGATCCCGAAAAAACTTATTTACGATCTCTAAACTAGTGAAAGCAACTTAAGTTTGCCAAAGAACATGAAAACTGGGCGGAAAAAGAATGGTAAAAATTTTTATGAAGAGATGAGTAAAAATTGGAAATCTTTGTTCCCAAAAAAAGGCAGTATGTTAGAGGAGATCTGATGTGAAATTTTCGGATGAATGTTTCCAACCAACAGAAAAACATGGAAATGACTTCTTAATGGTCTGGGAGTATGTTTCTAGATCTGAAGTTGGAGACCTCTTGTGAATAGATGCAAAACAGTACCTGATTGGGTAAAAGTTTATTTTTCAGCAACATAATGATAAAAAATATGATATTTTGCAATTTCCTGAAATAAAAGTAACATTAAGTAGATAAAAAAAAGAAATTATAAAATATGGAATGTTAAATTAAATTATAAAAATAAAAAAGTGCAAAATTTCAATATTAGAACAATTTGAACAGATACACTTAGCTTTATTTTATACAAATGCTTTTGACATTAACAATAAAGAATATAGAAGGATGCATTTGGCACTCCATGAACAAGCACTAGCGGATCCAGGATTTAATTTTGGGGGGGCTTCAGCCCGGAAGCTTTTTATTTCATATATAAAACGATAATTACTTTAGAAAAACAGAAAGATACTATCTACCTATATGAAATGGTGTTTAAGTGATTCTTTAAGTCCTATTAAATGTAATTAAACGAGCAATAATACATTAAGACATAATTTTTAAACATTGTTTACCATAAAAAATTATTACATTTTACCATTTTGGGGGGGGCTTCAGCCCGAAAGCTCCCCCTCCCCCCGTAAATTCGCCTGTGTGAACAAGTGTGACCGAAGTTATTGTGAAGCATGCATTTCTCGTGAGGTCCTCATCTAAATAATTACCTATATATGCTACATTGCTTTATTCTCAGTTAAGTTCCATCTTTTTTGTATGGTCATGTATATATTCAATGGCTCACAGTCAAAATGATACACCTGGATATTGATAGAAATTATTTAATAAATAAATAGTTCAATTTATATTACATTAAAAACAATAATTTATTGTAATCAATAAACATCCTATGTTAAAGTGTTATTTTATTATGTTCTTTTTCTTGTTTTTATGTTATATTATGTTTTATATTCTTTTCTTATGTTTTTTTTCATTTTATTATTATTTGAAAATTAGTACATTCTGCCGCATTGTAGGGCTTTAATATTATGGCTACATTTTCTTATCTGATCTGAAATCTGCACTTTATATTGGAAATATTCACTTGGTATAGTGAATAAACATGTTTACATAGACATTTTGAGAAGAAACTTGAAAGAAGTTGTGGAAAATTTGGGCTAAAAAACAAATGTTGTTTTTATCAGAATAATGACCTCAAACACTCTGCCATGTTAGCTAAGAAATGGCTACTTTATAACTGCCTCAAAGTAAAAAAAACACCACCACACTCACTAGATCATAATGTGATAAAACACCTATGGTCAAAATTGGTGGAAATTAGAAAACACGAAATTTCAAGCAAAGAAGACTTTAAAAATATCTTCTTGAAGAATGGAACAGAACAGACTAAGCCCCCGGAATCACCAAAAAATTGGTCAATTTCATCACTAGCGAATCCAGGATTTATTTTTGGGGAGGGGCTTCAGCCCGAAAGTTTTTTTTTTCATAAAAATAACGATAATTACTTTGGAAAAAAAGAAAGAAACTAACTACCTGTATGAAATGGTGTTTAAGTTATTCATAAAGCCCTTTTAAATGTATTTACATGAATAATAATACTTTAAGAGATACTTTTTAAATATTTTTTTCGATAAAATATGGTTATATTTTACCATTTTGGGGGGGGCTTCAGCCCGAAAGCCCCCCCCCCCGTAGATCCGCCCGTGAATTTCATTAAAAACAGACTGAATTGAGTGGTATAAAATAATGACTTGTCTACAAAATGTTGAACTAAATTAATAGTATTTAAAAGTTAAGGTATCATTTTGACTGTGAAGTAAAATTATCCATGTTTTAGTTGTTTTTGAAATAATCATAATTGAATATTTTATTTAGTTTGTACATATTTAAAATGTGATTATAAATAAATCTGTTGAAGAGTTTCTGTTTTATTTATTTACTGTAACCATTGAGGTATTTTTTCTATGGGGTTTATCAATTTCACTGTGAGCTACTGTATATATATATTATGGGAATGTGAGTATGGGAGTATGGGAATACCCCCATAAGATAATAATAGACTTAAACATGGAAGAAATATTAAATATTCTACTCCTGTAATTTTTATAATGAAATACTCGATTACTTTGAAAAGTACTCAGAGTAAAATATTCCCGAGTAGATTTGAAAATAGAAAGTACTCACGAGGCCAACTGATTACTTTTTGTACTCGTCAATCATGAGGTCGAGTAGTGATTGAAGTACTCGATACTCGAACCGGGCGAGTATTTGAGTAAATTACTCTGTAATTGTACTTTTTACTCAGAGTACAATTTTGCTCATCTCTATGTTTACTGAGCTTCAATTGCTGGTTTCGTATGAAGTGTGGGCATTTTTCGTAATTTGAGAAATGACTTTCATTGCAGTTGCTGCATTTCGGGACGAAGTCTTCGACAGTCGAAGTTAGACTGTCAATGAATTTAATAATTAACTGTGAAGGCATGATTTCAGGTGGACTGTTTTTAGAATTTTTGCCATGAAATATTATAACATCAGGATTGGGAATTACAACTTATCTATTGTCTATGAAGTGGTGTGGTTGGTAGATTTCATCGCTGCATCTGCTTTCAAAAACTCCTCCAAGACGCCCATCTGTGTGGTCTATGTAGGGCCAAGGCTTCAGTCCCCAAGCCGGAAGAAAAAATAAGCCCTATCCCCAAGCCCGGACATCATCATAAGACCTATCCTCAAGGCCGGACATCAACATAAGACCTCCTTCTTTTTTTTCCTATCCCTCAGGAATTCATTTATTATAAAAAATACTATTTATAAATACATAAAAATATATAATACAAACATTTCTAATTTCCTTTTATTGCCCAAGAACATTTTAAGGTAAAAGGGCTATGCACGCTGTATGCGTACTCTGCCTCTATGGCCCCGACTTTTTTTTACTTTTTGGATTAAATCGATATCAGGGTCCATTAGTATGTTTTGGGGGGCGCTGTTTATGAAAATGATATCGAATTTGGGAATAGGCCCCCCGGGCCTCGAATTTTTTTAAGTGTTTGTGTTAAATCGATATCAGGGTCGACTATTAGTTTTTGGGGGACGCTTTTTATGAAAATGATATCGAATTTGAGATTGGACCCCCCGGGCCCAGACTTTTTTTAACTTTTTGGATTAAATCGATATCAGGGTCGATTAGTATGTTTTGGGGGGCGCTTTTTATGAAAATGATATCGAATTTGGGAATAGGCCCCCCGGACCCCGACTTTTTTTAACTTTTTGAATTAAATCGATATCAGGGTCGACTATTAGGTTTTGGGGGGCGCTTTTTATGAAAATTTTATCGAATTTGAGATTGGGCCCCCCGGACCCCGACTTTTTTTAACTTTTTGGATTAAATCGATATCAGGGTCGACTATTATGTTTTGGGGGGCGCTTTTTATGAAAATGATATCAGATTACGAATCACTTTCATAAATTTTGAGGTAGTGCCCCCGGGGCTCGACTTTTTGTAGTCTTTCGGATTTAATCGATATCAATGTTGATTATGAGGTTTTGGGGGACACTTTTTATCAAAATGATGTCGGATTTTTTTTTTATAAAATCCGTCCCCTAAAACATAATAGACGGCCCTGATATGGACTAATTCCAAAAAGTGAATCCACTGGGTGCAATCTCAAATCCGACAGTATTTTCATAAAAAGCACACCCCAAAACCTAATAGTCGACCCTGATATCGATTTAATCCAAAAAGTTAAAAAAAGTCGGGGCCCGGGGGGCCCAATCTCGAATTCGATATCATTTTCATAAAAAGCGCCCCCCAAAACATAATAGTCGACCCTGATATTGATTTAATCCAAAAAGATAAAAAAAGTCGAGGCCCGGGGGGCCCAATCTCGAATTCGATATCATTTTCATAAAAAGCGTCCCCCAAAAACTAATAGTCGACCCTGATATCAATTTAATTCAAAAAGTTAAAAATAGTCGGGGTACGGGGGGCCCAATCTCGAATTCGATATTATTTTCATAAAAAGCGCCCCCCAAAACCTAATAGTCGACCCTGATATCGTTTTAATCCAAAAAGATAAAAAAAGTCGAGGCCCGGGGGGCCCAATCTCAAATTAGATATCATTTTCATAAAAAGCGTCCCCCCAAAACATAATAGTCGACCCTGATATCGATTTAATCCAAAAAGATAAAAAAAGTCGAGGCCCGGGGGGCCCAATCTCAAATTCGATATCATTTTCATAAAAAGCGTCCCCCAAAAACTAATAGTCGACCCTGATATCAATTTAATTCAAAAAGTTAAAAATAGTCGGGGCACGGGGGGCCCAATCTCGAATTCGATATTATTTTCATAAAAAGCGCCCCCCAAAACCTAATAGTCGACCCTGATATCAATTTAATTCAAAAAGTTAAAAATAGTCGGGGTACGGGGGGCCCAATCTCGAATTCGATATTATTTTCATAAAAAGCGCCCCCCAAAACCTAATAGTCGACCCTGATATCGATTTAATCCAAAAAGATAAAAAAAGTCGAGGCCCGGGGGGCCCAATCTCAAATTAGATATCATTTTCATAAAAAGCGTCCCCCCAAAACATAATAGTCGACCCTGATATCGATTTAATCCAAAAAGATAAAAAAAGTCGAGGCCCGGGGGGCCCAATCTCAAATTCGATATCATTTTCATAAAAAGCGTCCCCCAAAAACTAATAGTCGACCCTGATATCAATTTAATTCAAAAAGTTAAAAATAGTCGGGGCACGGGGGGCCCAATCTCGAATTCGATATTATTTTCATAAAAAGCGCCCCCCAAAACCTAATAGTCGACCCTGATATCGATTTAATCCAAAAAGTTAAAAAAAGTCGGGGCCCGGGGGGCCCAATCTCGAATTCGATATCATTTTCATAAAAAGCGCCCCCCAAAACATTATAGTCAACCCTGATATCGATTTAATTCAAAAAGTTAAAAAAAGTCGGGGGCCCAATCTCGAATTCGATATCATTTTCATAAAAAGCGCCCCCCAAAACTTAATAGTCGACCCTGATATCGATTTAATCGAAAAAGTTATGAAAATTCGATGCCCGGGGCACTATCTAAAATCCGACAGTATATTTTTATAAAAAAGGCCCCCCAAAACATGATGGTTAGTCTAATATCGATTAATGGGGGCTCGGGGTTGGTCAGGTCGAATATGGCCGCTATTATTGAAGGAAATAAAAGAAAACATTTATACTCTACATAATAATGACGGAGTAGTTGAAAAATAAAAAGTACTCTTTGTAGAAATTCGGCTGAGTACTTTCTGTAATTCGATATAACAACGAGAGTATTTTCTGTACTTAACTAAATCATGATTGACGCAGCGTGAGTACTTTCAGTACTCGCCGCTGTCAGGCCGAGTACAGAAACTACTCGATACTTTTTCCTAATAAAATTACTCAAATCATGAAAGTAATCGAGTACTGCCCATCTCTAAGTAAACAACGACCAACCATTCACCCTTCACAACGAAAAATATTCAAGCCAAGACAAAATGATTTTCCTTCCTTACCAAAAACAGACTCAAAATGGTTTCAAAAAACATTCTCAGACAATAGTGGAAATAATCCTTCTAATAATGATCCATCTATTACTAAATGTTTGAAAGAAGTTAAAAATATTTTCAAACTTTTTAACTTAAATAAAATAATCAATAAATTTAAAAATATTGTTTCTGAAGTAAAATCGGCAGAAGACAGCATGTCAAAAATATTTATTGTAATAGAAGGGTTATTATCATTAATTGATTAACAGTCAAGAGTTTAAAATGCTTAAAATAGGCTTAAGATGCTATTTATGTAATATTTTCTTATTTATTAGTTTAATATCACATATTGTATACTTTAACTACAACATTCCTCTGTGTACTCCTGACCTTAAAGTGAGTACAATCAAATGTAAATACACACCTACCACGAAAACAGTCAACACTTTCACATCAACTTCCGAACCTATGTATACTAAATTGCTATTGTTTATATTAAGCAAAACATGTCTTAATACTCAAACAAAAACAATACTATACCTTATATATCGTAAACTAAATCATTCTGACGACTTATTAATATTCACGTATTTTTACCTATATGTTTTGTTTCTTCCATTTATGTATTATTATTTTTTTTACTATTGCTTGTATATTAGAGATTATGTAATATTTTTTTTATTCATAATGAACAACGGTAGACGACATTTACAATTAATGATGTGGAATGCCCAAACACTTCGCCGAAATGACATAGAATTCAAACAATTTCTACATCAAAATCAACCCCATATAGTGTCAGTAAGCGAAACTCGTTTATCTGCTCAAGACAGATTCTCGGTCCCTGGCTACACTGTTTACCGAAAGGACAGGAACAGAGAAGGCGGGGGGGGGGGGGTTATGATACTGGTGCGTTCAGATCTACCACACGTTTACAGGCCGATTGATAATTTAAAATACGCAGAAGCGACTGCAATTCAACTTAAGGTCAAAAACAAAATTATTAACACAGTTGCAGTTTATATCCCACCGAATAAAATAAATACACATGACCTTAGAGTTATGTTTAATATCGGTAAACACACACTCATTTTCGGGGACTTAAATGCAAAAAAATTTACAATGGAACTGCCATAACACGAATAAAAATGGAAAATTATTATTAAATTTTATATCACGGAAAAATATTGAATTGCATGCTCCAAACGAGCCAACTTACATACCAACTCAGAAAAAATTCAAATCTAGCATTATTGATTTAGCCCTAACCAAAAATATTTCTGATGTTTCTCGCCTTATCTCGGTACCATGTCTCAGTTCGGACCATAACCCGGTGATCTTTCGATTGGAAAATAAAACCATAAAAACCAGCACGATCCCAAAATTCAATTACAAATTGGCTGATTGGGAAAAATTCCGGAAAATCATAGATAAAAATCTAGATATTAACCCC